CGCGGAGGAAGGGCAGGGCTTTCTTTGTGTTGTACAGGATTTGGGGGCAGTGTGTCAATTCCATTTCCAGGAGTGCCTGGGGCCCTAGCATGATAAACCTGTTATTCTCCTGCTCTCCTTAAGCATGGAGGAGCAGATTGAGGTAATCCAGGCCCCTGCAGGGGTGAGTGGAGTTGTATATGCAAGCTTTGATCCCCACTAGTTATAAACCACAAATAATACATAAGGAATGCAAATTAGGTACCAATTAATAGCGCTTATTAACATGTCCTGGACCCTTGCAAGGAGAAGCTGTGGATGCTTGCGAGGGAAGAAAGCCATACTTGTGCACCGTGCCGCAGAAGCATGTCTGGTCAGGCAAAAACACTGCGTGTGCTGGGAGGACAGAATAAAGCTGAAACTGAAGGCTGCTTGGTGCCCTCAGGCATCTGGAAAAGTGTCTGCACAGTTCAGGTTTGAGGAATGATTTGATGTGAGAGTAGGAATCAGAGGAAAATAGGTATCTCCTTCCGTGGAGCACTGTCCAGGCTGAGGTTCTAATGAGTTCCGCACGTACAATTTCAGGGCCTCCCCCTAGTCTCTGAGAGAAGAGACCGGGACAACACAGGGCCCCAAAAATCTGGAAGAAGGGGTACATGCTTGGGGTAGGGAGAATGGAGAGGGAAGCAGACAGCTATTACTTAAAAGAGTGGTGAAAAATTGCTCATCTGTAGCCTTCTCCTTCTAGCAGGAATGCTTCATCTTACTTAATCTTCGTCCTACCTGGACTATTTTATAGCGAAGCATATGAGCTTCTTTTCAGAATAAATTGTTAAATGTATAAAATATAGCATATAGTATTATATTAAAACAGAACTATCAAAATATTTAAAGTACAATATGGTAACAAATGTGATTCTCTACTAACATTAAATATCAAGCTTCAATGACTGGAATTGTGTCAAAGTAATGATGAGCATCGGTGTCTACAATGACTGCAACGTCATATAAAATACTCCCTGTGATTTCGCTTAGTGACAGTCACAGGTGCTGCAAACTGTGGTGTGTTACCTGCCATCGTAAATGAAGGAAATGCAAAATTAACCTCAATTAGTGACCAGTGAAAATAAAGGTATAATTATTTTCCCATTCATGTTTATAAATTTCCTGCCTTCTAAGCAGCGTCTTAGGTTAAGAATTTATGAAGCAGATTTACTAATCCCAAGGGAGGATTCCCACAGTGTGGAGACAGCAGAGATTATCACTATGCTAACCATCAGGAATAGGAATCTAAACACTTTGCTCCACTATGTTGGGGCTGCAGTTTCGTCAGTTGCCTAAATCTGATGAAACAGCGTGTTCACATATGGTAAGACACAGAAAATAAATTTATTACTTATATATAGGCAGCAAGGGAAAAAGAGGTCTAGGATCCATGGCAAGCCAGTCCCCCCAGGCTCACAAAAGCTGCCTGGGATGAATGGAGTCTTGATTCCATGTGCCCCATTTGTACTGCAGATGAGGGGCCCCGCTCCCCCAGAAGACAGGTTGCCCTGGGTTATATACCTCAGGGGCAACACTACTGTCTGGAAAAAGCTCTGAAAGATGTCTGCTACCAGGAGGAGAGAGGAACAAATCCTGGGCTCTCAGTCAGTTCCCTCCTATCTCAGGGTGTTGTATTTCCAGTGCATTCTACAGTTATTTTGAAAACTACAGCAAGAAGAAGTGGGTAGAGGTGCTGACGGGGAGAAGACAGGTTGGCCAAGGCTATCTAGAGACTGACTAGCAGAATCTCTTGTCTACTATTATTTAGCAATCGCATACACTGGATTTAAGAAGGCATTGAAGGTTGTTATAAACATTTCCCTTGCTTCGAAAGATAAGAATTAAAATAATTGTTATGAAAAATCATTCTTACAGACATTGTATCCATCAGTGTTAGCTAGAGAAACATATAATACAAGATACACAAACATATAAGAATTTACAAGATTGGCTTCTAATGGCCATCCAGAATTGGATGTGGAAGAGTGCGGAGGGTCTGTCTGCACCCTGGAGATCCAAAGGATTCAGTAGAAGGTCTCGAGCTCACTGCAGTGTCCCGTGTGAGTCTGCATCAGGAGGCCAATGGGTATGAGATAAAAGGCTGGAGTCCACCCTAGGAGGCTGAGGGTCTGAGCCAGGAGGCTGAGGGATCTGCATTGGAAGCTGAAGAGTCTGCACTGGAAGCCAGGAGATGACATCCAAGGTAAAGGTGAAGACTGAAGCTCCTCCAGAGAGACAGAAGCAGATTTGTCCTTTTTCATTCCCACTTTATACCATCTAGGCAACAAGGTGCCCTAGGGTGGGTCTTCTACACCCTAGGGTGTAGAACTGCTGAGCCAATTTAGTTGAGTTGCTCTTACTCAAGTTTACACAATCAATCAACCATCAGACATTAATATTGAAAGGATTTTAATGCCCTTTTATAATAATTAAGTTGAGATAAAAGATTCATTCACTCATCCTTTTATCTATTAAGGTTTTAGTGAACGCTGATGCACCATGTCAGGGCTAAAACCATCCACAGTGATCAGATCAAGTTTAGTTGATGGCTGACAACTACCTGTACACCAAAGATTTACTTTTTCCCTCCAAAGAATTATTGTTG